GCAGCCACGGTATTGTTGCTTGTGAATTGTAGCAGCCACGGTATTGTTACTTGTGAATTGTAGCAGCCACGGTATTGTTACTTGTGAATTGTAGCAGCCACGGTATTGTTACTTGTGAATTGTAGCAGCCACGGTATTGTTACTTGTGAATTGTAGCAGCCACGGTATTGTTACTTGTGAATTGTAGCAGCCACGGTATTGTTACTTGTGAATTGTAGCAGCCACGGTATTGTTACTTGTGAATTGTAGCAGCCACGGTATTGTTACTTGTGAATTGTAGCAGCCAGGGTATTGTTATTTGTGAATTGTAGCAGCCATGGTATTGTTACTTGTGAATTGTAGCAGCCACGGTATTGTTACTTGTGAATTGTAGCAGCCACGGTATTGTTACTTGTGAATTGTAGCAGCCACGGTATTGTTACTTGTGAATTGTAGCAGCCACGGTATTGTTACTTGTGAATTGTAGCAGCCACGGTATTGTTACTTGTGAATTGTAGCAGCCACGGTATTGTTACTTGTGAATTGTAGCAGCCACGGTATTGTTACTTGTGAATTGTAGCAGCCACGGTATTGTTACTTGTGAATTGTAGCAGCCAGGGTATTGTTATTTGTGAATTGTAGCAGCCATGGTATTGTTATTTGTGAATTGTAGCAGCCACGGTATTGTTACTTGTGAATTGTAGCAGCCAGGGTATTGTTATTTGTGAATTGTAGCAGCCATGGTATTGTTATTTGTGAATTGTAGCAGCCAGGGTATTGTTATTTGTGAATTGTAGCAGCCAGGGTATTGTTATTTGTGAATTGTAGCAGCCAGGGTATTGTTATTTGTGAATTGTAGCAGCCACGGTATTGTTACTTGTGAATTGTAGCAGCCACGGTATTGTTGACTGATCTTAATATAAGTTTTCCTTAATATTTTTATAGAGTTTATATTTTGTAAATTGGGGGGGGGGGGCAGTGACGTAGGTGGTACGTCACGATTAATGGTGAAGTATGTGGTTGCGTCACCAACTAGCAGTGACGTAGGTGGTACGTCACATTGGTAAGGTATGTAGTTGCGTCATCAACTAGGAATAACGTAGGTGGTGCGTGACACTGGTAACGTATGTGGTTGCGTCTCTAACTAGCAGTGACGTCGTAAGACATGGAGGAAAAACTAGACTCACGTTACCTGCCTAACAGGTTAAGTCTGGAAAAATACTCTGAATTGTGTTGATTCTCGATATTGCGAGACGGAACTAGTGATGGTGATCACTGTAGTGTGAGACGGAACTAGTGATGGTGATCACTGTAGTGTGAGGCTGAACTAGTGATGGTGATCACTGTAGTGTGAGGCTGAACTAGTGGTGATCAATGTAGTGTGAGGCTGAACTAGTGGTGGTGGTGATCACGGTAGTGTGAGGCTGAACTAGTGATGGTGATACTGTAGTGTGAGGCTGAACTAGTGATGGTGATCACTGTAGTGTGAGGCTGAACTAGTGATGGTGATCACTGTAGTGTGAGGCTGAACTAGTGATGGTGATCACTGTAGTGTGAGGCTGAACTAGTGATGGTGATCATTGTAGTGTGAGGCTGAACTAGTGATGGTGATCACTGTAGTGTGAGGCTGAACTAGTGATGGTGATCACTGTAGTGTGAGGCTGAACTAGTGATGGTGATCACTGTAGTGTGAGGCTGAACTAGTGATGGTGATCACTGTAGTGTGAGGCTGAACTAGTGATTGTGATCACTGTAGTGTGAGGCTGAACTAGTGATGGTGATCACTGTAGTGTGAGGCTGAACTAGTGATGGGGATCACTGTAGTGTGAGGCTGAACTAGTGATGGGGATCACTGTAGTGTGAGGCTGAACTAGTGATGGTGATCATTGTAGTGTGAGGCTGAACTAGTGATGGTGATCATTGTAGGGTGAGGCAGAACTAGTGATGGTGATCATTGTAGTGTGAGGCTGAACTAGTGATGGTGATCACTGTAGGGTGAGGCAGAACTAGTGATGGTGATCATTGTAGTGTGAGGCTGAACTAGTGATGGTGATCACTGTAGGGTGAGGCAGAACTAGTGATGGTGATCATTGTAGTGTGAGGCTGAACTAGTGATGGTGATCACTGTAGGGTGAGGCAGAACTAGTGATGGTGATCACTGTAGTGTGAGGCTGAACTAGTGATGGTGATCACTGTAGGGTGAGGCAGAACTAGTGATGGTGATCATTGTAGTGTGAGGCTGAACTAGTGATGGTGATCATTGTAGTGTGAGGCTGAACTAGTGATGGTGATCACTGTAGGGTGAGGCAGAACTAGTGATGGTGATCATTGTAGTGTGAGGCAGAACTAGTGATGGTGATCATTGTAGTGTGAGGCTGAACTAGTGATGGTGATCACTGTAGTGTGAGGCTGAACTAGTGATGGTGATCACTGTAGGGTGAGGCAGAACTAGTGATGGTGATCATTGTAGGGTGAGGCAGAACTAGTGATGGTGATCATTGTAGTGTGAGGCTGAACTAGTGATGGTGATCATTGTAGTGTGAGGCTGAACTAGTGATGGTGATCATTGTAGTGTGAGGCAGAACTAGTGATGGTGATCACTGTAGTGTGAGGCAGAACTAGTGATGGTGATCACTGTAGTGTGAGGCTGAACTAGTGATGGTGATCATTGTAGTGTGAGGCTGAACTAGTGATGGTGATCACTGTAGTGTGAGGCTGAACTAGTGATGGTGATCACTGTAGTGTGAGGCTGAACTAGTGATGGTGATCACTGTAGTGTGAGGCTGAACTAGTGATGGTGATCACTGTAGTGTGAGGCTGAACTAGTGATGGTGATCACTGTTGGGTGAGGCAGAACTAGTGATGGTGATCACTGTAGTGTGAGGCTGAACTAGTGATGGTGATTTTTTACGTATTTAATGAGTAGAGAGGAACTTACTACCATACAGTTTCAAAAGTAGGTACGACCGGCCTCAGGAGGCAGGGGATCAGTAATGCCGATCGATGATAGTTAAGAGGCAGGACCAGGAGCTAGGCCCCGACCCCTGTAGAAACAGTTAGGCGAGTACACGTTCTGGCCGGCTCTCTGGCACCTCATTTGTTGTCCAGGATGAACGACGAGGTCTGGGTTTTCATTAGTCTCTAGGAAGCACGACGTATGTCGTAACGTTGCTGTGATGACGTGTATCCGGTGCTTATGATAATAATAATAATAATAATAATAATAATAATAATAATAATAATAATAATTTTATCTCACCTGTAATTTTGATTAATTTTAATATTTTTTTTTGTACTGAGGAGGTGAGCGTGGTGGATGTGAGAGGTGAGGGAAGTGCGTGAGAGGTGAGGGAAGTGTATGAGAGGTGAGGGAAGTGTGTGAGAGGCGAGGGAAGTGTATGAGAGGTGAGGGAAGTGTGTGTGAGAGGTGAGGGAAGTGTGTGAGAGGTGAGGGAAGTGTATGAGAGGTGAGGGAAGTGTGTGAGAGGTGAGGGAAGTGTATGAGAGGTGAGAGAAGTGTGTAAGAGGTGAGAGAAGTGTGTGAGAGGTGAGGGAAGTGTGTGAGAGGTGAAGGAAGTGTATGAAATGTGAATAGCTTGGGCCAGCAGGTAACTTGGACCTGCCTAGCATGGGCCAGTAGGCCTGTCGCAGTGCTCCTTATGTTCCTATGAGAGAAGGATGGGAAGGGGTACCATAAGGACCTATATTCTTCACTTCACAATGACTTAAGTTTCCGCCTCATCTCACTTTTCCTCTTGAAATTAAAACCAGCATTACAATAGGCCGTCAAAGTCGTTCCCTGTACGGCATGCGCTGAGTACCAAGGCGGATGTTCACGGCAGGTACGTCTCACTCGGCTCTGTTATGAAGCACTTGTATTCCAATTACGCATGTTATCGTAGCTAGTCAGAAACACGGCTAGTCATTGCCTTCCGTCATGTGTTGACCACTCTGGTATGAAGTTGTTAACTAGGTGCTGTGGCAGTCTGATGTTGCAGAAGGTTACCTCCCTTCTAGGACCACTTCAGACTAGCAGACTCTCTCACGCCTCTGGCTGGTTCACACCATAACAGTTTGATCTCTTTGTCTGGGTGTACTATAGCTGTAGGGGCGAGTGTTCTTATGCTCTCTCCATCTCTCCAAACACTTTTCGGTTTAACATCTCCCTGAAATCCTTGCACATTATAGGCAATACTTTCTACTGTGGTATAAACCTTGGTAATAAATACCGACAAGTTGGTTTAGAAAGACACGTAAGCAAACACTATAACATATTTATTAGAAAACGTTTCAAGGTCCCAGGACCGAAAAGTTTTTTAATAAATATGTTATAGTGTTTGCTTACGTGTCTTTCTAAACCACTTTCTACTGTGTGCACCTTATTTCTCATTTTGTGATTCCCCCTTTGACTGTCCTTAAAGCTTGTTCTCAGCATGCCAGGCACTGCAGGCCTTTGTACTATACTTTGGCTCATGATTATTGTTGATCAGAATGGTGCCCCATCTCGTCTTTCTTTCTCCTCCTCCTCCACCTCCTTCCCTCGAGGGAGGTTCCTTGATGCTGGTGAGGGGCTCTTGATCTAAGGAATTGGACTTCTGTTCCAATTCCTTGAATTCAGCCCGAATACCTTCCATGGATTTAGCGCCCCCCCCCCTCCATAAATCTAATAATAATAATCCTGGTGTTATTTCCTTATATGTTCCTGCTTTTCCTTCTGTATCCTCCTCATCGTCCTCCTGCTCCTCATTTTCCTCCTGCTCCTCCTCATCGTCCTCCTGTCCCTCATCTTCCTGCTGCTCCTCCATTGGGAATGTCGCAACACTAATGTGATTCAGCATAGTGTCTCATTTTTAAGCGTAATTTTATGTGTGACCAATGAGAGGTACGACGTCTGGACGAACGTCATGACCACCTACACCAATAGCAGGGGATGCTGACCCTAGTACATCCTCTGAAAATGTAACATGAAATTATGTTGCTGATGCGCCCACCTACATAACGCAAGCTGTAGTTTTGTGGTGTGTGTGTGTGTGTGTGTGTCGGGTGACTCACTGCTGCTGTACATCCTGCCTCTACTAACATAAAACAACAGACTCCAGACAAAGCTTACATGACATAGAAAGCAAATCCAAGTGGCATAAAAAGTAAATATATAAATGAAGGGCTCCATGAAGAATGAAACCGGAGGAAGGATGGAGAGCAGGACCCCTAAGACAGTGAACCTAGAGGAGGAGGAGGAGGAGCCTCCTAGAGAGAAGAGAATCACTACCGCCTTGCTAGCTACCAACAAAACCTCAACCCCTCCAGCAGGAAAACTCTTGAGTTTTAAGATACCAGAGGACGATGATGAAGAAGAAGAGGGGGAGGAGGATGAAGAGGAGAAAGAGGAAGAGGAGGACTTAAAGAAGGATATCGTACCAGAGGAGACTCGAACATGGGAGGCCTTGTTGTTCCATCAGTCTTTCGGTGGACGGATTACCAGAGAGCTCAGTATCCGCAGTATCTTCACTATAATGGTGAGGGAATGGAAAGCATTCTTTTTCTTTTAAACAAGGTCATGTGCTCCTAGGTTGTTTTATATGATACATTGTGGGAACAAAAGGTACTTATGTTTCCCAGATATATTCCATCACACAGGATGGGTTGCAGGCGTGAAATAATGAAAGTTGTCAGTCTGAGCTACGAGACTTTAATAGTCTCTCTGAACTGCGAGACTTCAACAGTCTCTCAATCTGAGCTGCGAGACTTGTTTTTCATCGGCCTATTCAATAGGGCGATGAAAAACAAATATGTGCAAGCATCGCACTAAGGGTTCAGTAGTTACGGCATCATATCGATAGATCTAAGTGAGAGGCTGGCATCGGGTACAGACAATTAAGTGAACTTTGAGGAAGGAATGGACATAGGAACAGCCAAGGGCACCATGTCTGCTTATTAATCGGTGTCAAGTTTGTTTTATTTATCAGTATTATTGAGAACAATGTCAAATTCTCCAGAGAGGAAGAAGATAATTGCCGTGTCGGTGTCAGGGAGAAACTCGTTATGTGGGTTAAAGTTTAATATATGTTTTGTTAAGATAACGGAGATGTACAAAGGACCCCAATAGAAAAAAGTAACTCTGACTTATTTACACACACACACACACACACACACACACACACACACACACACACACACACACACACACACACACACACACACACACACAGGCAGGACTGCAAAGAGACCTGGAGAGGCTGGATATGTGGTCCAGTAACTGGCTTCTCGAATTCAATCCAGCCAAATGCAAAGTCATGAAGATTGGGGAGGGGCAAAGAAGACCGCAGACAGAGTATAGGCTAGGTGGACAAAGACTACAGACCTCACTCAGGGAGAAAGACCTTGGGGTGACCATAACACCGAGCACATCACCGGAGGCACACATCAACCAAATAACCGCTGCAGCATACGGGCGCCTGGCAAACCTGAGAATAGCGTTCCGATACCTTAATAAGGAATCGTTCAAGACACTGTACACTGTGTATGTTAGGCCCATACTGGAGTATGCAGCACCAGTCTGGAACCCACACCTGGTCAAGCACGTCAAGAAGTTAGAGAAAGTACAAAGGTTTGCAACAAGGCTAGTCCCAGAGCTCAAGGGAATGTCGTACGAGGAAAGGTTAAGGGAAATCGGACTGACGACACTGGAGGACAGAAGGGTCAGGGGAGACATGATAACGACATACAAGATACTGCGGGGAATAGACAAGGTGGACAGAGATAGGATGTTCCAGAGAGGGGACACAGGGACAAGGGGTCACAAATGGAAGCTGAAGACTCAGACGAGTCACAGGGACGTTAGGAAGTATTTCTTCAGTCAGAGTTGTCAGCAAGTGGAATAGCCTAGCAAGTGAAGTAGTGGAGGCAGGAACCATACATAGTTTTAAGAAGAGGTATGACAAAGCTCAGGAAGCAGAGAGAGAGAGGATCCAGTAGCGATCAGTGAAGAGGCGGGGCCAGGAGCTGAGTCTCGACCCCTGCAACCACAATTAGGTGAGTACACACACACACACACACACACACACACACACACACACACACACACACACACAACTCACCATTTACCACAAGACTTATTTTAATTTATATAAGTAACTTACCTGAAGAAATCAAATCTATGAATGTGTTCTCAGAGGGTTTAATAAAACCATGAAAAAGTGAAAGTGACCGTAGAAACATACAAGAAAGCAACGTCGAAAGTCCACAAAACAATGATGCACATGTGTCTGAGTCATTAAGCCATGACTAGGCTGGTTAAAGAGCGAAACAGAGGCAGATTTGTGGAGAAAGAAGACACAATATATAGAACAACATTATTATTATCAAAACCATGCGCTAAACCCACTAAGGTCATACAGAGCAACAGAGTTGCTGAAGCTGCACACTAACAGCCCCTTTCAAAGCAGGGGAAAGTGCAGACCTGGAGAATGTACAGAGAACTTTCACGGCACGTATAAGTACGATAAAGCACCTAAATTACTGGGAACAGTTAAAATCCCTTGATTTGTACTTCCTGAACGCAGGCGAGAAAGATACATAATAATATACACTAGGGAAATCCTAGAGGGACTAGTCCCAAATTTGCACACGAAAATCACTCCCTACGAAAGTATAAGACTGGGAAAGAGATGCAATATCCGCCCAAGACCATTCAACTGCCTCCCAGTATACATAACGGGAATTACGAGTAGACCCCTGGCTGTCTTCAGGAAGGCACTGGACAGGCACCTACAATCAGTACCTGACCAGCCGGGCTGTGGTTCGTACGTCGGTTTGCGTGCGGCCGACAGTAACAGTCTGCTTGATCAAACTGATCTACGAGGCCTGGTTACAGACCGGGCCGCGGGGGCGTTGATCCCCGAAACCCTCTCCAGGTATACTCCAAAGTCCTTCACATTAGTTTTTCGCTCTAGTGTGTGGTTGGAATTTGTTTTATGCTCCGATCTCGTTTTTATTTTCTCCAGTTTTCCATAATGGAGTAGTTGAAATTTGTCTTCATTGAGGCCCATTTCAAGACTTGGTTAGTGTCCTTTTGGAGATTTGCAGTGTCCTCAGTGGATGACACTGTCATTCAGATTCTAGTATCATCAGCCTACCTACTTCTGTCAGATGTCAGAAGTAGGTATAGTACAAGAACTAGTGTAGGTATAGTAGAACTGATGTAGGTATGGTAGAACCAAAGATGCAAGGGATCACCTGCGCTAGCCGACCGTAGGTTAAGAGAATGGAGCCAGGAGCTGGGACTTAACCCTGGTGAGAACACTTGGGCTAGCACACTCCACTGAGCGGAAGGGTAGGTACACAAAGAAATTCTTGTCTCGTTTCTAAAGGTGCACTAGAGTAATACTCCGTAAGTGTACCTTGACATTTGTTGGAGGCGGCGCCTGGCTCTCACCCATGAGGGTGGCAAGACAGGAGAAAGTGATGTATTTCTCGCGTTGTTATTGCCGTTGCTCTCACTTCCGGTACTGCTTCTGTTGTTCATGTTGTTCCCTTGTTTACTGCCGTTTTTGTGGTAAGTAATCAAGTCTGCAGTGGCGAAGGAAGAAAGTTTTTTACACTTCAGCCCTCTATCTGTGACCTTTTTTCTTTGTGGAATTATTTTGCCACTGCGCATGCACAGGGCCACATCATTCTCTGAACAACCATCCTGATCAAGGTCTTATACACCTAGGTGTACATCTCTGTCTATATATGTCGAGAGATTACTTTCATCTCTGTTTTAGGGATTACAATATCCTTGACTGGTGGTGTGCAGGTTACATTCAGCCTCTGTGGCCAGCCAACCATACTAATGTTTCATTTGGATGCTCAAACTTTCTTCGTTATAATCACATGGTGGGCACATAACATAACTTGCCTTTCTCAAACCCACCTACCCATCACCCCAGCCATCCATTGCTTCACACGGCATACCAGCCATCCACTACCCCAACCATCCACTACACCCATCACCCCAGTCATTCACTACCCCACCCATTACCCCAGCCATCCACTACTCCACCTATCACCCCAACCATCCACTACACCCATCACCCCCGTCATTCACTACCCCACCCATCACCCCAACCATCCACTACTCCACCCATCACCCCAGTCATTCACTACCCCACCCATCACCCCAACCATCCACTACACCCATCACCCCAGTCATCCACTACCCCACCCATTACCCCAGCCATCCACTGCCCCACCCATTACCCCAACTATCCACTACCTCACCCATAACCCCAACTACCCACTGCCCCACCGATCACCCCACCCATCCACTACCCCACCCATCACCCCAGTCATCCACTAATTCACCCATCACCCCAATCACCTTACCCACTTCCACAAGCATATTACCTCCCAGTTTTCTCAGACACCCTTTCCCTGCTTATTTATTTATTTATTTATTAACAATTTGAGCACACATACAGAAGTACAAAAAAATACAGATAAGAGCAGCATGCCAAAGCCACTTATACTATGCATAGCATTACGGGCTGGCTTAAAATTAACTTAAGATTAACTAAGCAATGATGAAATCAGTGATAAAACATTAATGTAAACAGATAACTATAAAGCACAAATGAGTATTACAAAGACAGGTCATATGGTTGCATGCATTGTTGTACATTCAGTCTTATGAAGTGTTCTGTTAGGTAGTGTATTTAAAAAATAATAAAGTTAGATTCGGTTTTAGGTTTAACATTTATGTGATATAATTGTGAGAAACATTTAAGTTATACAATTTATAAGGTTCAGTTATTCAGTATTTATTTGGTTTTGGGTGAGTAAGTGATCTTTGAGAAGAGACTTGAATTTATAAACAGGTAGTGTTTCTTTTATATTTACAGGTAATGAATTCCAGATTTTAGGGCCTTTTATGTGCATTGAGTTTTTGCATAGCGTGAGATGGACGCAAGGAACATCAAAGAGTGATCTGTGCCTTGTGTTATGGTCATGTGTTCTGTTGAGGTTGGCAAGGAGATGTTTGAGGGGAGGGTTAATATCAGAGTTAAGTGTTCTATGTATGTAATAGGTGCAGTAATAAGTATGGATGTTTTGTATGGTGAGTAGGTTGAGTGTTTTGAATATTGGTGGAGTGTGCTGCCTGTAGTGAGAATTTGTTATCATTCTAACTGCAGGGTGATGGAATGGGTTGCGAGTAGTAAATGCCACAACCATTGAAAATGTACGTATTAAATGTTGTATGATAGATTAAATACAGAAGATGGCGCCACGAGCTAGGCTCTGTTCATATTATGTATTTAAGAGAATAATATGGACAGCAGGGTTCTTCGACGTCGTCGTCTTGGTGTTTATAGGGCCACTGACAGATCACGCAATACTGAGCCCTGCCTCCCGGTGTCGGGGGGGGGGGGGGGGGGGGAACTGTCCAAATTGGAAGTAAAATGACTAGCTGGGATGTATTATATGCTCCCGATGAGCCTGAGACTCGCAGGAAAATGCAAGTATGATCTAGGATTTC